TAAACTAGTAGTTGTTTCTATGGATTCTTGTTCTGATAATGTTGTTCTAAGATAATGAGTAGTTTCTCTACATAAGCTAATAGAAGTTTCTATGGATTCTATGTTTGTTGTAATTCCTGAATATATAAGCTAGATAGATGCTCCTGTTGTAAGCATACTCCATAATTTATAAGAAACAGCTGAATGCTGCTTCTTCATGTTTGGTTCTGGTTCTGGGAATGCAGATTAGACTAGAACCAGAAGACCTGAGAGGTCTGGAAGGTTGATCCAATGATAACAAGTGTTTCATGTATTCTGGTGCTGAGCCATCCAGATTTACAAGTTAAAAGTATCTTAAAATCTATTATCTGAGCTATGTTTCATGTAAAAAATAATAATAAGAAAAAAAGACGTAAATACTGCTCTAAATCATGCAAAGCCAATATGATACTTTGCTGCAATTTTGGAAATTTTCAAAAGGCCTTTTTAACAAAATACTATTTGTATGGTTGAACGTTTTTAATGTGACTTTTTGAATAGAGAAATTAGCTCTTCAAAATCCAGCTGAAGGGCCAAAGGGCTTTCATGCAAATCCTGAAGCATAAGTCTAAATAACGGCGCTCTGCAGCTGATATGATGTATAATTATAAAACCGTCTCGCATCTGAACATCCCAGAAGCCTTGAAGTGAAACTTTTAACTTTTATCAAAGTAAGCCATCATTTTTGGATGCCTCAAAGCAACAGTGTGCCCAGACAGGAGAACATTCCTGCCTTCTCAGACGTTATGCTAAAGCAGAGTGTTGAGAGTCTGGTTGCAATATTGCTGCTTTCTGATTCATTCTGCTGAATGAAGCCACTTCCTATTATAAACACCTGTAGTCCACACCAAGCTACCTTCACTGAATGGCAAGTGATTTTTTTCTCTGTTGAAAGCTTTTTTTGTACGGAGAGGTTTTTTTTGAGGAAATTATACATGGCCTGTTGTGAGTCAATTGAAATCAGAGCTTTGGCTAAGTATTTACATAGATTTACATGTACGATTTGTCAAAGAGGCCCATGGGAACTCTGGAAGAGATGCAGAAATTAATATCTCAGGTGGGAGATTTCTCCACCGGACAACTGTTAACTGTGAAGTACACAATTTTGACCTGAACTAAGTCTTTTTTTTTTTATAATCCATAATTTATCTTCTTCTTACTATGCCACAAGTCATGAAGGAGGCAAACATGTAAAGAAGAGTGCTCTGCTCAGATGAGACCAAAAATGTCATACATGGTAGTGACAGCATCAGGCTGTGGTATGTGTTTTTAGTTGTTTTTTTTTTTTCTTCTTCAGCGTTAACAGTGAAGCTGGTCAAAGTTGCTGGTGACAGAGCTAGATTGTAACGGCAACCCTAAACATAGAACCGATGCTGCAATTAAAGAGTTCAGATCAGGGTTCCATCAAGCAAATCATGGAACTTTTATCAACGTATTGATGTGTTTATGTCCAGAAAATGACTCTTGTTGTCAATGTTATCTTTAAATTTGGCCTCATAATTCACATACATATTTGTTTTTATATCAGATTACTGTACGCATGTCATGTAACATGCCACCACACTGACCGAGAGACCACACAGTGATGTCTAGAACACAAACGTCGCTAAAGGCATGGTTACAAAAAAACACAATATAAAGAGGTTTCCCCGCCTCGCAAGATAAATCTCTAAACTTCCCTACTAAAAGAAGTGTGAAGATTATTCACTCTTTTTAAATACAGTAGCAGCCAAAAATAATGTTGGTGAGAAGTTTGGTTGTATTGGAGGCAGGGCTGGCCTGAGCGTACAGAGAGAGCCTTTTATGCTCTCCTCTGCAGTGTGTAAACGGAAACAAACAGGAGCCGAGTGTGCCCCTGAAAAGTTAAAATGCTATTTCAGGCAGAACTGATTACAAATATGAAATCCTATTCACCGATTTGAATCAAAGCAATAATGAAAAGAATAAAGATGAGTGATTATTTTTTCATGTCAACTGCAGGTCTCCCAACACGTTGAAGAAACACACTATACCATTAATTTGCTAAACTTCATGAGGAAATATTTAAGATTAGCTCTAGTTTCTTTTCTAGATCATCCAAAAAGCCAAAACTTTGACCTGTTATGATCTTGACCTGCAAATTTCAACTTTCCACCTGTTTTTTTTTTGTTTTGTTTTTTGTTTTTTTCATACATACAATTCCTAAAAAAATAAAATGTCAAAAATCTAATATTTTATTGGATGTTTTTTTTTTTTTTTTTACCTTGGCCACACTTTGGAAGCCATTGGCATACTCTTGGCACCATTCTGGATATTTTGATTACCTCAAACAAAAATACGTTGAAGTACTGCTACTTTTACTTGAGTAAAGGTTTTACGTGCTCTACTAAGCTCTGGTTGTGAATGCCGTAGACGTATTTGTGAATGAAAGCTGAAGGGGTTCCACCCATTGTCTCAGTCTTTTTCCCAACAGGATATCAGTCCAGCAAACTTCCAGTTGTGAGTCAAGCGTAGCATTCCTGAGGCTACCATCTGCCGCAGTCGGCCTGGCATCTTTCAGTCGCATCCATTTTTGCCGACTAATCTCTCAAACACTAAACAAAAATGTTTGGTGCAAAATATCACTTATGAATTAGTGCATTAACACCACAGTACAAAGCATAACATTTTCTATTAAGTCCTTTTTTTTTCTTGAACTCTTTCATGTAATCATTTTTCAAATTATCAAAGCATAAAACGAATTTCTAGCTATTAGGATTTGCTCTTGATGACAGGAAGCAAACTTCGCAAATGTGTCTCCTGTTTTATGAGCTACAGACAGATGGGAAGTGGCATGAATCCCTTTCTGCTCAGGCATAAATCAGGACCAGAGAAGCAGCTCTGCTGTCTGCCACGGGGCATCCACAACCAGCATCTGATCCGGCTGGGCTGGGAGCGATGAGCTGGCTGAAGAACAGAGGCAGGTCAGCATCCATGGTGTTTTAAAAGGCTTTTAAGGAATCCTGAAAGACAAATTAATGCTATAGTGGTATAATAATAGACCTTAACTCATAACTCCAAAAGTACAATCTCAAATGTTGACATGGTGACTCAGTATTATTTTTTTGTCTTTTGTCCAGCCATTTATCTGATAATTCAAGATCAAATTTCTCCATTTAAGGTGCAGTATGTAAACTATTCTAAAAAGTTCCGTTTTTACATATTTGTTGAAACTGTCACTATGTTGTGACAAAATGAGATGGATAATCTGTGAAAAAATTAAGCTCCTCTCCCTTCTCCACTCCTGGCTCAAGGCCCCCTCTTCTATCCCCTAAGCTGCAGCTAGCACATCCTGTTGTGCTAGCTGCACCACAGACTGTGCAGCAGCTACCTTCCATGCTAAGGCTAATTAGCACATTTAGCAGCGTACATGAGTTTGATTGACAGCGCTAAGTCCCTCCTTCTGGGTCTGATTGGTTGTTTTTGGTCGGATGCATTTTGTCAAACAGCAGTTGTAGCTCCTGGAGGAGGTGGAGGAAATATTGATCTTTTTACAGATTATCTGTCACATAACAAACTATCACGACATGGTGATAGTTTTATCAAACATGTCAAAAACACATTCTTTATAAAAGTTACATACTGCACCTTTTATTGAGTTGTTTGTCCAACATTTATTGTTGTTTTTATACCTAAAAAGACAGGCATATTTATTGGCACCTCTGGCAAGGATGAGTGAAATGCTTTAGTTTAGTGTGTGTGTGTGTGTGTGTGTGTGTGTGTAAATATATATATATATATATATATATATATATATATATACATACATTTTATATTTTCAGTTTTCCGACAGTCCTACAGATTTAAAATGTTCTATTACAGAAAATGCATGATGCCATGCAGTTGTAGCAGGTTTACGTGGCAATTATTAAATGAAATGGGGCCCACAGCATTACAGATCCTCTACCATGCTTAACAATGGCCATAAAGTACTTTTGTGCTCGTTCAGTTTATGTTTCACTCCAATTTCCCCTGGTGTTTTTTTTTTTTTTTTTTTTTTTTACAAATAAATAAATAAATAAATCTTCTTAACCAACTAGAGCAAACTGTATTTGTGCTGAGGTGACACAAAAATGTTTTTTTTTTTTTTTTTGTTTTTCGTTTTTCTGGCAAATGACTGGTTGAGATGTTCAGTCATTCTCAATAAATTCAGGAGCTCAAATCCCAAAGTGAAACAGATCATATTAACAACACAAATACTAATATTTTAAGACATTTATTTCTGTTAATTATGAAGATTTTCTGCTTCCAGCTGACAAAAACATGATTAAGATTAGAATGTTACATCAGACCAATAATAATAATAATAATAATAAAACTTTCATACAGAAATGTGGGCTTAATGAAAAGTTTGTTTTAAATTTTATTAATCCTGAAAGGAATTGTTAAAAAAATAATAATTCTAATAGTGATAATTAGGTGGAAGTTATTTTTGAATCACACGGATGTGATTGTTTATGAACCAGTCCATAAACAATAATGTGGGGCAGAAACTGATAAATGCATCTGTGTGTACCACATATGTTTAATGAGACCCTTCCAGCACTTTGTATGTTTTTATGTTTTAATGAACCTTGCCACTTTTGAATGCACCCGCACTCGGATAAGACGACTGGGGGCTAATGGGTGGACCCTGAGGAGAACTTCCAGCCCCGTGATTTGTTCATCGGGGGCTGGTCGACTTGTCAGTCCCCCTGTAATCGTTGCACTGGTTTGCGGAGCTTGTCCAACCCTCCCTGTCCTGGGGGACGCACGAAGTGGAGCGGCTGCACTTGGTGTGCGTTTTTGTTAAAACCCTGATACCTTCACTGTGAAGGCTGGGCGCCGGGAAAGAGGATCTGGCCCCTCTTTGTGGTGGAGAGAAGAGGCTCAACCCCCCCCTCCTCCCCTCAACCTCCCCCCCTACACACACACATATGGCTCCTCTGTAGGACAGTTTCCATTTTTCATTCGGGATCGTGGAAGGGACGCCAAAAAAGACAAAAAGTCACCTGAAGTCGCGCTCACTTTGTGGGACCCCGAACATGGAGATGCAACGGTGGTCCACAAGGTGGAAAACGAAACGTTGGCTCATGGATTCCACTAGAACTGCATTCATCACTTTAACACTGCTTCTGCAGGCTGCTTGTGTCAGAGCAGGTAAGGAACAGCGAGAGGCGAAGTGTAATGAAGTGTGAGCGGGCTGAGACGGAGCGCCGGCTGGATGAGGAAAGGGTTGATGGGGGGTGGGGGGGGAGAGAGACGGACTTTACCTGAGCGCAACAGCAACAGGTTTGCATCCTCGTAGAGCGAGTTTTATTGTGGACACCTGCGGAAAGTTTACGCTGCAGCAGTGTTGCTGTGCAGACAGCAGAGCGCTCTTCTGCCGGAGACGACAAGTGCGTTAAAGTGTTCTGTCTCGGTGTCCAAAATAAAAAACTAAAAAAAAAATACACCTCATATGTACGCATGAATGGAAGCGTCTACCCAGAGGATGAAACACTTCGCTCTGTTAAATTGATCCTCAGCCGCTGGTATGCGCTTAGAAAGACCCGGGAGCAGAGCGGCTTTCTCCTTTTCTTTTTTTTTAATTTTTTTAAAGATTCACTTCATCTCAAAGACACCTCTTTGTTAAGAGTGGCGGTCCTCTGGGTGGGTATTTGTTGGACCCTTCATTTTGGTGACATTTTCCATGTATTGTGAAGGTCTGCTTGGATGCAGTATTTGATAGGGTCATGATATTTCGGGTGCCATACACATTAAAACTTTGCTTCTTAATAAGATATTTGGCCACTTGGGTGGACTTTGGTTGCCTTTTTGGGGCCACATCCCTTGTAGAGTGCTCAAGATAGTAAGGAGAGCAGTGTGGTCATCCTGATGTTGGGAACGGAAGAGGAGCTTGATGAAAATGCGGGTGAACTGGAATCAGTTGGAGATATTCAACAGCATCCATGCTTTCCTGATAATGTCTGTATGGAGTGGCAAGAATGTCACCCCATCCGTTGAGTTGCGGGGATGTGAAATTGCAAGTCTAGACTCACTTTAATTGACAGTAGCTTCATGTAATGCTTCAGTGGGTGTAATACCATGACCCGAAGAGGAGATAGGCCCGACAGGATGGGTGATTAATTGAAGGCTATGATGCAACCTGCAATTTTTGTTGGCCCACACAGCAGGCAGTCTGTTGGCACATGGTGCTAGGATAACTCCAAACTTCTGGGTTGAGGTTTATTCTTTTTTCTTTGTCAGAGGGGTTACACGAGGTCAGGGAGACGAACCCTATCTCCATGCTGCCCTGGTCCACACTAAAGGCCCAGTCACTGGTGTCTAGCCCGCTACCCTACCTCCCCCCCACCCACCTCGTCTCTCTCCAACTGCTAACTTTGCACTCAGATGCTTGGTAGGCTGCAGGACAAGGCTGGGTTGTGCGATTGGTGGGACCGCTTCCCCTCTAAGTACTGAGCGCTTATTTGATGATGGTCCTTGTTGCGCTTCCCTATGATTTCGGAGCCTTCAAAGGACAGAGCCTGCATGAAGAGCTAGTCCGCAGTCATAATAGGCACTGTAGTCACATGGCTCCAGATTATTCAGGCCTCACACATTGGACGATGGACAACTGAGGTTTAATTTGGCTGAACGTATGATGCAACCATTGGTTAATTCATTGTACTTTTAAAGGACCTCAAAGGAAATTGCGACAATAACTCGACAAATTGGAGTCAGTTTCTCTTAACATCGAGTTAAATTAGGTGTAACATCTAATTTAGCTTGCTGCTGATGCATCCTGCTGGATGATTGCTGGAACTGCATGCCGGATTTGCAAAGTCTCACCTTTCCTTTCAACTCCTCTCTAGGTCCTGCCTCTTCATATATACATTTTCAAGTATGCCGCTGCAGGACCCATCTGTGTTCCTAAGTCTGAGTCAGTCAGTCCCTTCAGAGCTGTTTATAGCAGCCAGAGCAGTTTCTGCAGGGTGCTCCAGCAGTGTACAGACACGTTTTCTCAGCCCCCGGGGCACAAGCTCAGATGTGCATTCCAACAAAAAGAAGAGAAAAAAAAGTTAGCATTTTAAGAGGACTTTGCTTAATATGTTCAACTGGGAAGTTCAGAGCTTTGTCCACTGAAGCATCAATGGATTTATGGTGTTTGACCATAAATCGGAGACAATCTGTTTGTCCTCCAGAGAAAGTACAAAAGGATGTCTTGAGTCAGAATTTGAAACAAAAATCAACTCCGTCTTCTTTATAGCCATGAGAACTAAGGTTTTTGCTTCATTATATACACGAATGATGATTTTTCTTAATTTATTTTTTTCTGTATGGAGGTATCCATTAGCATGAGTTGATGTGAGGAAAACCTAAGTAGGGGAGAGTGGAGAGAAGGAATGCTTTGAAAAACTGGGTAGGTCTGAGTGAAATTTCCTTGGTATGACACTCAGCATAAAGCCGTCTTGTTTTAGCCGGCAGCGTGATGGAAGTCGAGGGAAGCCAGAGGAGAGGAGGGAGAGCTGGGGAAAGCGGGTGGGGGGGTTAGGAGGTAATATATGAAGGGAGAGACATTCTGACGGAAGACGGTGTTAGAGTCTCAGGGAGCTGCAGGTGAAAAGGTTTCACCTGTGGGTTTTTTTTGTTTTGTTTTTGTTACTGATTTACCTTGCTGTAAAGGTGTAAAAACAACATTAACGCTTCCTGTTTGTTTTGGTTTTGTTGAACCCTGATTTCTTTGGCTTCATCCCAGAGAAAAGCTCTTCACTTATCTCCAAGAAGATAGGGGTTTTTACCGTGAACACGGGGCAGGTGTTATCCAATCTCTAGTTGAAGTAGAGCTGCTCCTCCCATTGTTCCACACCTCCCAAGTTTGCATACGCTTGAACAGAAGAGACGGTCTAATATTTTAATCCTTCCTACTGTGTAGTCTAGAAAGTTTTCCTTCAGCTATGCGGCCTGTTTGCTTGTCCCTAAGGGCAAACACACACTGACTCATCAGGTGCAGCCTTTCAAAGCCTGCACACACTCATTTGGGCCGCCTTAATGGATTGGCCCGTGTTTGTGTTTTCTCAACACCTCTGTGTGAGGGTCGCAGGCTGGACAAGCTGCAGCATCTGGACTGTTTACATCTGTGCACAAACTCAGAGTGAGGTCCCCGTTTTTCTAAGAAACACATTGGTTCTAGGCCTCTCACGTTAACAAACCTTCCTGGATGATAAATTGTCCCAGAAGTTATTGCGATAAACGATAATATTGTTGTTTTGAGATCTTTTTCAGGGAATATAATGGTAATGGGATAAAAATGCAAGAACACTCTCTCGAAGATCAATAAACTTTAAATTCTAAAGAATATTTAATACTGGAAGTGGACGACATTTTAAATATCCAAAGTAAATAAGCAAAACAACAAATAATTGAATTATGAACTCTCTGTGGACAAAATTGTTCTTCCAAAAAAGGGCTAGTTGAGACCAAAGCACCATACTGAAGACTTTTGTCAAACAGTTTTTGTTAGAAAGAGAGAAATGATTGATTATCCAAATGAAAATGATTGAGCTCGTTTTGATTAATTAATTGATTTATTGAGGCAGACCAAACTGGTTCATCCTGAAGTTGTTATTGCTGCTGCAATATTTCAGCATTCAAACAGACTGGAGGTAATGTTACTTTGACTTAATTGCGTGTTATGATTACTTGCTGTAATGTGCTTATATGGAGGTTAACTCAATGTGGGCATATGCAGATGATTCTCACTTTTACCAGCTGAGAGGAAAATGCTTAAGAGTCTACAGTCATGTCTCCCTTTGACAAAATGCAGCCTAATGCTGATTGGCTTGCAGGGTTTTGCATGGTGCATGCTGTGTTGGCTGAAGCAGGTCTGTTCTTGTTGCATGCACTATTGGCAGGCATTTATGAGATGAACGCAGACGGTGAAAAATACAGTGCTGTAATGTGTTTGGCCTTTTATGTCTTCTATTTTTTTTTGTCACAATTGAATATTTGAGATCATCAAACAAATTTTTGTACGCAAAGAGATGAAGAGCGAGTTCAAAAAGTAATTTTATTTCAATAAATATCCATCCATGTTCGGAAGTAGCCAAAGAAACCCAGATCATCACACTGCCACCAATTTTGAATGTCAGCATAATGTTTTTTTTATTATTTTTTATTTTTAATGTGTGTTTTATACCTGATGTAACAGAATGCACACATTCCAAAGAGTTCCACTTTGTTTTCTTCAGCTCACAAAAAATTTATGCAGAAGCTTTTTTTTTTGTCTTTTAGTAAATGTGAAACAGACTTTTTGTTGTTGGTGGCAGTTTTAGCCTTAATATTGAATAATAAATATAGATTTTCTCTGAAGCAGACGAGGCCTGCAGAGCTTTAGGTCTTACTATGAGTTCTTTTGTGACCTCCTCCGAGTTTTGATGGGTTTGTCACGACTGGGAAGGTTCACTACTGTTTAGTGTTTTCTCTAATTGTCTACAATGACATGTAAACCTTTTCAGTCACCTGATGGATGTAATTTGCTTTTTTTTCTTACAGTTTTCAGAATTGCTTTGAATTGAATTGAGCTGCTTGTTGACATATTTGTTCTGAGTGGTTTATACTGGTCTGGTGAAGGCATAGGATTGGTTCAACTAAATGTCCTCAGCTGTTGGAAAAAAAATTGAGGTAATTACAGTTATTTTATGAACTAACAGAGAAGGGGTTTACTTTTTTTTTTTTTTTACATAGGGCCAGGTAGGTTTGAATGCTTTTTAAAATATATATAATTAATGAAATCACAATATAGAAAACTCCATTGTAAAAAATTCTATATATTCAATTTATCTTTTTCTGATAAAATTTGTTTGAGATCCTGAAATGTTTAAATGAGAAAACAACAAAAGTAGGCAGACACATTTTTGCTAGCTTTTAAAGACGGAGGCCATGTTGGTTATAGCAGCTGGAGGAGAAGGGTTGCTAATGCTAATGTAGAAAGGAAACACCGTCTTTTTCTTTGCTGTTGCTGTTTTGTTTTGTTTTTTTAATTATATGATATTGCTTTATTCTTTGTACACGGTAAGCCTTTTTGTTTTGCTTCGGGATGGATTGCTGACCAAAGCTAGTTAGCATTAGCATGTGTCCACTATTTTGATCTTAACCAGCTAATATTAGCTGAAGCAGTAAACAAACGTTTGCTAGTGTAAATTAAAATGATTGAGACCATCAACTGACAGACATTAAAATTATTATCAGCATCATTCTATCTTCTCATGAGGTTTTATTTCAAGTCTGATCAGGTTGTTGTGTAGTTCCAAATCGTGGAAGTGAAACCTGCAGTAAGTGTTGTTTTAGTTTCTTTGGCTCAGCCACTTACCAGACAATAATGGACCTCGTCACACCGAGTCGGTACTTTAGCTTGTCTTCAAGCTAACGTGTTATACTGAGAGGTTATTCTGACGGAAAGAATAATGATGATAGTCCCCAGGAGATTTTGTGGGAACTCACACAGGCTTCTTTATGTGAAGTGCACCGGATTGAAGAGCCTTATCAAAGTAAACCTATCCAGGTGTGATATAACTCCAACTCTGTTGCTACTTTGTTCATTATGGTGCTTGGTATGCTCGGTTATTTTCCTGTCTGGGGAGCCTGTAAAACCTGGTCCCTGCAGCACTTCCCAGCATAGCTATTTAGATTTGCATGAGTGATTAGCCTCAACACTAAATCAGGATGCTATTCAAATTTTCACTCGGCAAGATAATGTTATTATTAATAGTCTTCATGCCATTTGAATGTTTTTCTAGTAAAGAAATAAAAATGGTAATTTTACTCCTTTCTTCATTTTTCACTTTTGACATTTTGGTTGATTTTATTCGTCCTTTTTGTTGTATGAACTGTGTCAGGTACCAACCACAAGGTCATATTCTGTCGTAGGGCATATTAGTCGTCTTGGTCTGAACAATGATTAGAACAACTGTCAATAGAAATGTAACTAAATCTAAGCTATTCAGAAAAAAACACACCTATTTTATTTGAAAACGTGCATAGCTGTTGATCGCCATAATTCATCAAAAAATACTAATTTACCAAGAAAAGTAAACTGCAATGGTTATCTACATGTGTGGTTTGTTTACAGGTACAAAGTGGAAGTAGAGCATGATGAATAAAATACAGCATAGCTACAGAATTGAGTTATGAATCGGCACAGAGACAAACTGGTCCATGACTGGCTCAGACAAAAACATATTACCTCCACTGTAAAAAAACAAACAAACAAACAAACAAACAAAAACCTCTTCATATTCTGACCTAAAAAATGTTCAATCATGCTAACCCAAGTGTTTTCAACACCTTTCCCCCACTGTTGTTTGAACCTGTAGGTTTGGTATGTTCCAAATGTTGTATGTTGTCTCCTGTGGCAAAAAATAAAAACTTTAAATTAAAATTCTTCATTTTATGTATACAGTCTAATGAAATCAGAAAGTCTTGAGTACAATGAACTGATGTTCCATTTTCTCTTCGAACAGCAGAGCCAGTGGACGTCTTAAAAGCGTTAGGATTTCAAAATTACCCCGAAGGAGTGACAAAAGTAACAGGATTTTGTGCAAACCGAAGAGCATCGAAGTCAGACTCAGCCTACAGAATCGCCAGGCAGATCCAGATCAGCGCCCCCACCTCACAGTTATTCCCTGGTAAGATGAACCCCTTTGTTTTTAGTTCGCTTTGGATTTATTGGTGTGTGGTCTGATGAAAGCATAGTTACTCACTGTTAACTGTTTAGCAGTCTGACCACAAGCTTTTGTATAAATCATCATAATCATCATAAAACTTGAACTACCTTATTTGGATGCAGCTACCCAACATGCTGCTGTAAAAACTTCACCTGCCTGTTCCATCCTTCCGTTTTTCATTCAGGTGGCGTTTTTCCTGAGGATTTCTCCATCCTGACCACCCTGCGCCCCGAGTCTGGCCTCCAGTCCTTCTTGCTGTCCATTTACAATGAGCAAGGAGTTCAGCAGCTGGGTGTAGAGGTAGGACGCTCACCTGCTTTCCTGTATGAGGATCAAACCGGCAAGCCAGCCCCGGAGGACTACCCTCTGTTCACCTCTCTCAACCTTTCTAATGGAAAGTAAGTACAATTTTTTTTTTTTTATTCGATTCACGCTGCTCACGCTCAGAAAGATAAGTCTGGACTTACAGACAACGGTCATACAGAGAAATTTGCATAACATGAACTCGAGCCAATTGAGGGGTCTGAGATTTTGCACGGGAAACAATGCAAGAAATAACATTTACGTTTCAATGCTGTTTTTACAGCTGCCTCAGAATGACCACGGCTCCAGATGCTTTACAGATGTTCTCGCAGTTATTTCTTCCTTTGATGCATTACTCATTTGATCATAAATTTGCTTTCATGTTACATCTCACAAAGACAAGACAAGACACGATCATTGCAGTCTTTTTGGTTAAACTAAGACTTTACATTTCTTTTATTTATTTTTAAGAATTGTGAAGTGTGTTTCAATGAATCTCTCATCAGACCAGTTCAAACATTGCAGTGCTTCTGCTCCAAGGTGGTTCTAATGCTCACAAATGCATCAACAATGCCCTTTCTGTTTTTACATACAGTTTAGTTTACAATTATGCGCCATTAGTTTGATCAGTATAGCTATTTTAGACTTTAAAGTTAATCCAATGAATTAAAGCCAAAAAGCTACGTTAGCATTGTTAGCGAGCAACAGTTAGCATTTTTCACTGCCTTGTTTTGCTCTGAAAATGGCCCCACATAAGCAATAGGAGTGTTGAGGCTTTTCTAATACTAATAGGTGTTAGCTAACCTGATGAGAAATCTTCATTAATTGACTTTGTTGACCCAACAGGGAAACTCAAGTACTGCTTCCTCCTTATTTCAAAATAATGTGGCATTTCTCAAACAGAAATAAATTAGATAAAGCACAAACTGGCATATCTGTAGTTCTTGCAGTTCTCTACATGTATACGATTCACATTCTGGCAAAAGCTGAAAAGTGCTTACAATGATAAAAATCCTGAGTCCATATTTATTCATATTAAATTTAACATTTAAGTGTTTGTACTTTGTTTTTTAGCAAGTAGCCAATCCAGTCGCAGGTTGTCATGACTGGAATATCCGTCTCGTCAGGGTTCTGTGGGCACAAGACAAGTCAGAGACAAGAAGACGTTGGATCACTGGACCTCAGCAGGGCTGTTATGGGCAAACTGACCTCATCCACGAACTCCCTGCCTCTGTTATTTTAGAGAGGGGGAAGCAAGGAGGGGATAGAAGAAGCTCTAAATTTCCTTTCTGCCCCCTTGGATTACCTTACCCAAACCAGAAACAGTTCTTCTAACCCTTGGGAGAAAACCTGATTATGCACTCCCAGCTGAGTTGTCACTCAGATCTTTGTAGCTGAAAAAAGAAACATACAGGCGCAGGATGAAATGACTTAGCACACTGGACCCTTTGAGAGTCGTAAAACTACAAATATAACTATTAGCCTATTCTGTCTTTTTTTAGTTTTTAAAATCTGTGTTCATGTCTATTGCTATATAACCTTAAGTGGTAAAATATTTAAAAGGAAATTTTGCTCCTTTTAGCTAGTTTTTTAGTAAATTATACAACGTTTATGAATTTCTGCCTATGAAACCAGGTCCCTAGCAGAGGATTTTACCAATTCTTGTTTTGGAGGCAGTCCAAGACTAAATCCTCAGTGACTCAGAGTGTGTACTGTCTGCAGTTCGTCTGGAGTCTTATGTGCTGAGAAATGAGAGACACTGCAAATATTCTGCAATAATCTTCTAAAATGACTATGTAAAGTCAATTTTCACATTAATAGAGATAAAACTGGTCAAATCAGTTTGATCATCTCAAATCGGGTAAGATTTTAACCTTTTAATAGAACACCCCTTTAAGAAATCCTGAACTATTCCTTTAAGTCAGCATTTGTTTGCCTGCTGTATAGGTGACAAGTAATCCTTTGTGCAGCAGTGTTGAGCTTACAGGGTATTGCACGTTTCTTTCTCCCTAAGCTCCACTGCCTGCCCTGGAATGTGTCTGTATGGTTTAGCTGTGTTGAACTTGCCGAACGAATGAATGACTATCAGATCAGAAATGCTACTTTTTCTCATCCTAAACCGTGGCATTGCAAAGGTCCCATCCTCGACCTTAGAAGAGTGTTTTGACTGCACCTCCTGTTCTGTCAGGAAAAAGGCCTTCCTGGATCTTGACACACACTTTCCACAATGTTCACCACGTCTGTCATGCCGAGTAACCCAGAAGGAGGATTAAGTTTGGAGTTTAATTAGTGTAATCCTGTGCTAAATGGGGCAAAAGTGTGGGGCCAAGAATGTGGTCCGCTATTGCCTGGAATGCAATAGCTCCTGACCGTAGTGACAAATGGTGGAAAGGCAACGGAGGTGTCGGACTCACGTGTGACCCAAGGCAACTATTTGGGCTCATCGATAATTTCTACTCTGGCGCTTGGGGATTCTTGAGCCACAATGTTTTTTAGTATGTAAAATTCAATTATTCATTCATTACGTTTCGATACCAGCCCCTGCTGGGAAGCCGGAACCGAGCCCACCAGTCAGAGAGCTAGAGGAGGCGTACAGTCTGGACAGACTGCCAGTCTATCACACAGCCAACATGCATGGCTTTAGACTTGGGGAGGAAGTGCTAGAGTGCCTGAAAAGTTCATACAGAATGGCTCCTGCCAAGATTTAAAGCTGCACTATGTAACTTTTACAAAAATTATTTTTTAATTTTTTGCATATTTGTTAAAACGCTCATGTTGTGACAGTATGATATGAGACAGATAATCTATGAAAGAAACCAAGCCCTTCCACCTCCTCCATGTGCTGCTACTGCTGTCTGGAGATGTGCACCGCTCCCAGTCAGAAACAACCAATCAGAGCCAATGGCAATGCTAACGCAGGGAAACCACTCGCAATTGCAGGAAAACCGCTTATTGTCTGTCATCGGTGGCTATGCTAACTAGCCTTAGCATCCAAGACAGGCCCTACTGATGGGGAGGAGCTCACACGACCATGATTGACAGCGCTAAGACCCGCCTCCTGGCTCTGATTGGTTGTTCCTAGGTAGCACTGGGAGAAGACAGACAAGCTTAAATTTTCACAGATTATGTCTCATTCCATAACGTCAACACATGGAGACAATTTCAACAAATATGTAAAATAAAAAAATCATAAAAGTTACATACTGCAGCTTTAATTTAGACTAAGGGCTAGCTGCTGTGTCACTGTTCAGCTTGCATAGTAAGAAGTAAAAGTGGAAGAGGGAACAAGCAAGAAGTCACTGAGAATGAGTGGTATACTGAACAAGGGACAGATGGCTGATTAGAAAGAGAGAGAAAGTGGTACAGGTGTGTTAAACCAGGGAGAGAACTAAAACATCCAGGATGCCGGCCCTCGAGGACCGACTTTGGGCGCCACTGAACTAGAGTAACAAAGAATAAGTAGACACAAGACATAAACATAATAAGCTAGAACTACTAAGAAAGGACTGAACCAGAGTAGAACAGAAACACGGCTGATTTGATCAAAGAAAAGGAACCAAGGAACACAAAAATGAACAAAACCTCAAACCAACTCAAACAACCCAAGATCGTGACACCCCAGTCGTCTTACAGCCTGACTCGATTTCCGTTCAGTTTTTTGTTCACAAAAATTGGTCAGACATTTTCTTTTGTGGGGTTTTGCTCTTGTATCCTTTGTCAACCACACTTTGCAAACACACTGCGGTGTCCTAGAGGATTTCAGGTTTGTTTAGAAGAGTTAGAAGTGCTCTTTAAGTGCATTATTATTCTTACTACTACAGTGTTTTGTGGAGCTGGTCTTTACCTTTTCTGTTTGAGTAACATCTGCTTCTCCTGACTTTGACCAGGTGGCGTCGGGTAGCCATCAGTGTTGAGAAGAAGACGGTCACCATCATTGTGGATTGTATGAGGAAGATCACCAAGCCTCTGCTCAGGAGTAACCAAGGCTCCATCAGCACCAGCGGCATTACAGTGTTTGGCACCAGGATCCTGGATGAGGATGTTTTCCAGGTAAAACTTTGATAGGTGAACTGTCTCAAAGCGGTTCTAGTGAGTTCCTTCGACTTTTAGCACATCTGCTGAGATAATTTATTATCTACTGTATAGCTGGGTAAGTCACCAGTCTTTCACCCGGGAGACCCGGGTTCGAATCCAGGCTGGGGCAAAAAAAAAAAAAAAGATACAACAGTGACATTGAGCTATTCAGTGTGGGTCCTTAGGCAAGACCCTTGGAGCTATATAGCCTACCTCATACCATGAGAGACATTGATATGCATAACATGCCGGCTCAGACATTGCCCAGCCAAACAAGGTCTGCGTCAGGTGCTGGGGAACCAGAGCACCCTGGTGAAAAATGGGCTATTGGAACAAGACGGAAATGGGCGAGAGATGAAAACATGGATCTGTTGGAATGCTACTACTCAAGTAACCCTAGTCAGAGGGGCTACATGCAAAGACTGTGGTTAGTTCGACATCCCCAGTCGACACTAACTGCCAAACAGCCAGTAGCTCAGTGTTACAACATCTGCAAACGGCAACTGCTATCACAACTTGAGATTGATGAGGCATCATAGCAGCTAAGATAAGTGGGCACATGGATAAATACATGAGCACGGCACAGAAGGGCATAAGCATAAATAGCAGAGGAGCCAAACACCAACTCCTTGTAGACCACACAGTCGCCCGAGACACCAACCTGTGCATGGCTTGGATTGATTACAAGAAAGCCTATGACTCAATGCCAAATGTGGCATGGATAAATGTGCCCACCATCAGTCACCTCCTCTACATGGATGACATCAAGCTGTACGCCAAGAGCGAGCGAGACATCAACTCACTGATCCACAAAGAGAGGGAAGGTCGTCCACACAGAAGGACGACCTCAGTCCAGTGTATTGTTCTTTCTTGCTCCCAGAAGGAACAATAGCAGACATTGATAACAGTTGGTCACAAGGAAAGGAGCCACAGCCAAATACCTCCAACGAATAAGGCCTGAAGAGCCAGCTCAATGGCAAGAACAAGATCCATGCAATAAGCAGCTATGCCTTACCAGTAATCAGATACAGATAATAATTAGCTGGCCAATGGAGGAGATGAAGACCACGGATGTTAAGACTCGGATGTGCTCAGCGAATGTCTCAGGCAATGGGGAACAGAGGACGAGGTGCTGGAGGTACCATCATGGGAGGACAAGCCCCTACATGGGATGTACCACCGACAAATAACTGAAGTGGCTGATATCAGGAAATCCTACCAATGGCTGGAGAAAGCTGGACTCAAGGACAGCACAGAGGCCCTCATCCTGGCCGCCCAGGAACAGGCCCTAAACACCAGAGCAATAGAGGCTCAGATCTACCACACCAGACAAGACCCAAGGTGTAGGTTGTGCAAGGAGGCCTCTGAGACAGTCCAGCACATAACAGCAGGGTGCAAGATGCTGGAAGGGAAAGCGTACATGGAACGACATAACCAAGTGGCGGGCATAGTGTACAGGATGTATATATATATATATATATAT